TCTGAAGTGTTTACACCCTGTAATGACATCGCTATTTTCGGTGACAAATGCGGCAGCTTCTAGGCCAGGCTCTCTCTGGTTCTGGCTTCCTGTGGGTGCGGGAAGACGGAAGCAGCAGATGCCCCACTACCGGTAGCCTCTGAGCCAGCAATCTGCCTGTGTTGCCGAGGGTGCCCTGCCCTTCACAGCTCCCGAGTGCTGACTCTTTGCCATTTGACCATCTGCTTCGCTGGCCCCCACATTTGCGAACTGAGGCTTGCAATGCTTCTGGGTGCCCGTCTGGCCCAGCATCAAGGGCCTGCCGCTGCTCCTCTGACCGTCTCTTCTTTGGCCCTGTAGTCTCTCTGCTCCTTGAGAGCTGATGGGCTCATAATATAGCTGAGAAGGCCAACCAGCTATTGCTAAGTCTCTTCACTAAGAAAGCACAATGGAGCAGATGACATAAAGAAAAAAAAAAAAAAAAAAAACCAGAAAACAACATGACCTTAGTTCTTTTTCCTCTGAGAGCAAGGACTAGGCTGTCTAGAATATGGAAGTTATTTGAAAATATGGGTTGACCTGAGGTTGAAGAAGAGGAAGAGAAAGTGCGTAGGAGGAAGCGATGACATCAGCCATTTGAGCTGACCTGGAAGAACAGAGGCATTGTCTGTCCCGCCCTTCCATTGGAGGAGTGGCAGCTGGCTGAAGCAGGAAGCTGCTTGGCTGGGGCCTTGGCCACAAAGCTCCACCTCCAACTCATCTGCAGTCCATTCTCAAGTCCAAGAAGAGCCTTTTATGCCCACAAGCAAGTACCCCTGGGACCAGGGGAACAACACACTGGGATGCAATTGGGAAACTGGAGGCCACATGCGCGTAGCACCCAGTGTAATGAGAGCACTCCGCAAAAGCAAAGAGACGCGGTAGATTTCACGCCTCCCCTCTCTTTTTTATTTCGTAGCTCATAGAAGCGATTCACATCCACGGGGAAATACAACCGCGCGAAAGCCTCTTGCTACCCCCGATTCTAGCCCCAAAAGCTAACAACTAATGTTGACAATCCTGCGAAACCTCTTTGGCAACATGATGCTGACTAAGGAGATTATAACAGCTTACAGATACAGAGCCCATGCGTGAGCACACAGAAGGACAGACAGAATCTGACGGTGTAGAACGATGGCAAGTAAGAGAAATGGGGTCCAGTCGAGGCAGAGTTGAAAAGTCTGTGGCGGGCCAGGCTGGAGTGTAAGCGGAGTGATGGAACACAAAGATGTAGGTGAGCCTGGGGATGGTAATGAGAAGTAGGCAGGAATATTTAAAATTGCAGAGAACGTGTATGTCTCGGTTTGCTTTCTACCGCCGCCGTGATACACACAACGATCAAAAGCAAATCTGGGGAGGAAAGGGTCACAGTCCATCAAAAGTTCAAGGTACGGAGGAAAGAACTGGACCACAGACCAAAGGAGAACGCTGCTTCTTGGCTGGCTCCTCATGGCTAGCTCAGCTTGCTTTTATATTCAGCCCAGGATCACCTGTCCAGGGATGACACTGCCTGCATTGAGCAGGTCCTCCCATATCAACCACAAATCAAGAAAATGTCTCACAAATTTGCCTAAAGGCAAGCTGATGGAAGCATTTTCTCATTTGATAGTCCTCTTTCCAGATAGCCTTGGTTGTGTCAAGCTGACAGAAAACAAAGAACCAAACAAAAAACAACAAGAGAAGTATGAAGCTTAGGAGGTGCAAATCTAACATCTAGTTAGCTTTAGCTTCCTTAACTGCCAAATAATATATACTCATAGATTTATTGTTAATACTAAACGGGAGTAAATATATTCCTACAGCTCAGAATTGTGTAACAACCAACAATGAATGACAGTGCATCATCTCTCTCTCTCTCTCTCTCTCTCTCTCTCTGTGTGTGTGCACATAGGGGTGTTGCTGGAGATCAGGCCCAAGGTGTCATGCATGCTAAGCAAGCACTGTACCATTGAGCTGCACCTGTCCTGAGCGTGAGCAATTATTGCAGTCATTTATAATGTTTCAGCAACAGGCCTCTGCTTAAGATCGTTTGTCATATCATTACTCTTTTGTCTGCCCACAGCCAGCACATGGAAAAGTATGTCTGACAACATCTCAGGCTTTGCTTTGGAATTCTTTCCTTGGCCACTGTTTCTTCAGTTGCTGTTTCTTCCACCAATGTGTTGAATGGCATATTTTGTGCTGTATAACTTTGGGATTGGGATACTTTTCCATACCCGGTGCATATAAAGCCTTAGAAGTGTGTAGGGATATTTTAGTAGCCAAGGTCAGTGACTATTTTCTTCTTGCTTTCCTTTCCTGGTCTAGTACATGCTTGAAGTGGAGACATTAACTGATTTCTTACACACCACTCATACTACCCAACAACATCGAATACAATTGCTAGCTTAAGAAAAACAACCAGGAATCATTATGACAATTTCTGCTTGTTGTCCGATTTTCATAGCATTGACCATAACCTCCACCAGAGATGTCCTGGGCCAGTCCTTCTGACCCTTTGGGAAATTCTACTTTACGTCTAATTTGTATTTAGAATGGCTGGCTTAAGACTGCTAGCTCTAATATTCTGCATCCTGAATGCTCTTAGTTGTCTGTGAAATTGAGTCTGCCTACACCCTCTCCTAGTCTTGATTTATAAATAGGTTCAGCTGCCAACAATTACACATACTCTATTTTTTGATGCCCCTCAAGGAGGCTTTGAGAGGATAGGTGGCTTTTACTCTTATAAAGTTTTATCTGGAAGCTATCTCCAATCCCCTACATGGGCATTCTTGGAAGGACAGTGATGACTCTTGGTCCCTAAAGGCCAAGAAACAATCTCCAATATGCAGAGTAAATCCAGTATCAAATTTCTAACAGATCATCATAGGGACAGGCCTGGGACCAGCTTGTACATGTTAGAGTGCGTGCAAAATATTGATGGTGGATATATTAAGATGGCAGAGAAAAGAGAGATGATGAATGTATGTGTAGTCACAGATATGACTAAAGACTTAAGGCTGAGGGATATAGCAAGACACATTAGACCTGCCTGGCAAGCTAGAAGGGAGCTTGTGCAGGAAAGCGGCCTAGGTTAACTGGCTGGGAATTTCCGTTGTCGAGCCTGGGACTAGCATGGTAGGTAGTACTGAGAGCTATATAAAAATTTCAGGCATGACATGTTATTTATTTCTTCACATAAATCAGCAGGCAAATGAATTTAAAACCACCCCTTTTACAGATGCAGGCAATGAAGCCGAATGAATGAGGAAACTTGTCTGATGAGTACTCCCTGGCCTCTCTCTGCATTCACTCTTTGCCAAGGGGGCTAATTAACTTTGACTTGAATTAGCCTTTGGGGCCATCTCTTCAGGTGACACCCCGGTGGATTTTTTTTTTAGTCATCCTAAATTCATGGCATTAGTTAGCATTACCCCAAAGCATAGCCCAGAGTTCCTGGGTGCAGCAGATGGGGAGCGCCAAGAATTCCAAACTCAGAAGTGTTGAGTGTTAGGAGTGCCTCAGACATCAGTCAGTGACCACAGGGTAAAACTAAAGGAAGCATCCCGGGGGTGGGAGTTGGCGGGGGGGGGGGGTGGGGTGGGTGGGGGTGGGGGTGGGGTGGGTAGTGGACTAGAGGTCCTAACGCATGACTCTATAATTAGGACGTAGTGAGCGTGCAATTAGTTTCCGTGTGTAATTTTACAAAAAGAAAGAAAGAAGGGTAGGAAGGCAGGAGAGGAAGAAAGTAAGTCAGGCAGAAAGATCATCTTTCTAGTAGCCTGCGGCGCAGTCTCAGACTGACGAATCCGGTTGGACCAGTTGGGGGCTCCACTGAGCTTTATCCCCTGGGTGCCGCTGACATCCCACCGGGGAGGGTTTGTGAAGGACCCTCAAGGACTAGTCCCCGGAGGACACTTGTGTCTTCTTGGGTTATTAGTCCCATGAGCCACCTCACCCAGACTGAGCCCTCGCCCCGTTTGCTAGAGTCAGAGCACGGGACTCTCTGCCTGGGGCAACAGATTTGCAGGCGGGGTCTAAGGCTGTGCGAATTCCTAGATGTCTTAAGAGGATGCGTAGTTTTGGAAGTTAGCATCCCCCAAGAGCGCTTAGGCTCCCGCTCATTCGTACACTAGTGGGCTACACAAGGCCGGGCTGGGAGCCGGGTGCCCGCAGGGCGAACGCCCCCTCACCATCCCGGTCCATCCAGGAGCGGGGTCCCATCCCAGCCCTGCGACCCCGGACTGACTGACCCCAGGACACGTGGTGGGACTCGGAGCTGGAGCTGCTCGGGGTGGCGGGGCTCAGTCACTGGCAGGCTTGCAGGCATGCAGGCCCGGGAGCGGGGCTGAGTTCTCTCGGGACCTCTGGGATAGTCGCCGGCTCGTTCAGCCTGGAGTGGGGCCGGTGAGTCAGATCTGGAGCACCCGCGGGCCGGGCGGGGAGGTGTGTGTGTGTGTGTGTGTGTGTGCGCGTGTGTGCAGGGGGGGGGTAGGTGGCAGGTCAGGAAATGACATCAGAGGCCTGTGCTGGGGAAGGGTGGTCTGAGCCCGGCGGGGGCGGTGGTGAGTGGGTTGGCCGCAGGCGGACCTTCGCCCAGCCCGGAGCCCCGGGCAGGACCCGGGCCCCTTCCTGGGGGAGTTTCCTGCCCAGTGCGCCCTCCCCGGCCTCTGCCCGCCCCCTCTCCGGGCCGCTCCTTGTATGGTCTGGGCGCCGCGCTCTCCCCGCCCCCTCCCTGCCTCGCTGCCTCCCTCCCTCGCTCCCTCCCACCCCCTGCGCCTGGTCCCTCCCCGCCTGGCTGGAGGCTGCTCAGGACAGACCCGGACGCGCAGTCCGCGGACCCGGCGGTCATCCGAGACGCGGCGCGCGCGCTCCTTCCCGCCCGCCCGCGGTGAGCAGCTCTACCCTGCCGCCCCGGGGAGGGGACCCGGGGCCGGGGCGCTGGTGGCGGCGGCGCGGGTGGGGTCACCGAGGGGAGCTTGGACCTCGGGGTGTCAGCCCGGCGTGGCGCTGCGTAACCTGGCGACCCCCTCCCCCGGCAGCCCGGCCTGGCCATGGCGGCCCCCCGCCCGCCTCCCGCCGTCTCCGTGTCCGTGTCGGCCCCGGCGTTCTACGCCCCGCAGAAGAAGTTCGCCCCGGTCGTGGCACCGAAGCCCAAAGTGAATCCTTTCCGGCCTGGGGACAGCGAGCCTTCTTCAGTGGCCTTCGGGGCCCAGCGAGCGCAGATGGGCCGGGTGGGCGAAATCCCCCCGCCGCCCCCCGAAGGTATGCGGCTGGGCTCGGGGTACCCCCTCCCCGGCCCCTCTGGAGCGCCAGGTGGGGGTTCGGAGGTTTGGGGAGTTTGGGGGTGTCTGGGAAGGCTGCCGCGAAGGGGGCTGGGCGCAGCCACCCTGTCCTGAGCAGATGTTCTTACCTCATCTTGGAGCTCCTGGCTGGGAGCCAGGACCCTTGGGACTGTTCCAAGTCTCCCGCCTGGGGGTGGGAGGCGGGAATGTGGGCCAGGAATCTTCCCCTTTGGATCCGTTCTCCGAAGTGTAACGGGAGCTGCGTGGCTCCTCCTCAGCCGATCCCCGGCCTTTCTCAGGGCGTCCTGAGCCCCTCGTTAGGGTCCGCTCACTCTGGGGTGCAGAAGAGAGTTCTTGCATCAGGGCGTTAGAACTGTCGGCCCCAGAAGAGGAAAGAGGGCCGGTACTGATAGCCTTCTCTCTCCCTTCCTACCTAGACTTCCCTTTGCCCCCTCCTCCCCTTATTGGGGACTGTGACGACTCGGAGGGAGCCCTGGGAGGTGCGTTCCCACCTCCGCCTCCCCCGATGATCGAGGAACCATTCCCCCCTGCCCCTCTGGAGGAGGATATCTTCCCCTCCCCACCACCTCCACTGGAGGAGGAGGGAGGGCCCGAGGCCCCCACCCAGCTCCCACCGCAGGTAGGGAGGCTTTGGAGGGCAGCTTTAGGTGACGTGGGATGGGGAGGGTGAGTGGAGAGGAGTCTTACTTTTCCCCCCGATGAGATTGGGATGACAAGTGTGTGCTCTGATCCCTGACCCCTCCAGCCCAGGGAGAAAGTGAGCAGTATTGACCTGGAGATTGACTCTCTGTCTTCACTACTGGACGACATGACCAAGAATGACCCCTTCAAGGCCCGGGTAAGGGGCAGGGTAGTAGGAAAGGCTGGGGCCCAGAAGGAGAGGAGGGGACCTAAGGAGGGGAGGACAGCCTTCTCTAAGTGCGTTTCTCCCCTGCCTCTGTTTCCTTCTGCAGGTATCATCTGGATATGTACCCCCATCAGCTGCCACCCCGTTTATTCCCAAGCCTAGCACCAAGCCTGTCCCTGGGGGCACAGCACCTTTGCCTCCTTGGAAAACCCCTTCGGGCTCCCAGCAACCACCTCAGCCGCAGGCCAAGCCTCAGGTCCAGCGCCATGTCCAACCTCAGGCCAAGCCCCAGGTCCAGCCCCAACCTGCGTCTTCCACTAACGCGCAGCCCCGAGGTCCCCTGTCTCAGGCTCCAACTCCAGCGCCTAAGTTTGCCCCAGTGGTTCCCAAATTTACTCCCGTGGCTTCCAAGTTCAGCCCGGCTCCGAGTGGACCTGGGTCACAGCCCAGTCAAAAGTTGGTGTCTCCAGAAGCTCCCTCTCCTGTGGGCACAGGGGCCCCTCAGCCCACCAACCTCACCTATGCTCAGCAGAAAGAGAAGCCCTTAGTGCAAGAGAAACAGCACCCAGTGCCTCCTCCAGCTCCGAGCAAAACCCAAAACCAGGTGAGGAAGGCTGGGCCTCAGCCTGGCACTGGAGTGCACTACAGAATAAAGAAAGGGCTTAGTGGGGTAAGGCTGGGGTGGAGGATCAGGGAGCCAGAATGGGTGTGGCAGCGGGGGAAGTGTGGGGTTATCTGGTAGGGCAGAGAGAAAGTTCTTCTGGAGGAAGCTGGGTACTAGCTGGGGCCTGGGTCAGCAGGGCAGAACAGCAGGGACTTAGAACGAAGAGGATACAATGTTACCTTGTGCCCTTCCGCCCCAGAACCTTAAGGGGTAGAATGAGATCACTAGCCCGGCCTTAGTTTTTCTGGATCTTGGGCCTTGACTTAATCCCAAGGCGCCCGAGGGCACATCTAGAGATAAAAGTGGAGTCAGCTCCAGGACACACCTCCAGGCCAGTGTCAGCCGAATGCCAGTACTGGACATCAGGCAGGAGAGGACTCTCGAACAGGTTCATCTTTCTGAAGTCACAGACAGGTCTGGGGTAGAATTTCCAGCCTGTTTCCCACAAGGTGTTAGACCCTGGTCAGGTTGGGTGAACTTTGAGCCGTTTTGTTTATTTGTTTGTTTGTTTGTTTTTCCCCTAACTGTCTTTGAAATAACCACCCACCCCAAACAGTGGCCGCAAAGAGTGTGTGGAGCGTGCAGACTTGTCTTCTCCGTCTAGCGCACGCATGCTCAAACTAGAAATATTCAGCACAGTTGTCTGTTAGTTCAGGAGCGGAGATCTCCTAAAGCGACCTGGTGGGTCACTTGCACATAGTGTGTAAAAGAAGTGTAACCGAGTTCCTCTTGCTCAAGAGTGAGTCTGCGCGTTATAGGGCTTTGAAACTGGGAGCCAACATGGGGGTTGGCAAGTTAGGAACAGCCTCATGAGGTTGGTCTGTCTGCCTCCAGGTCTCCGAGAACGAGAGAACCCAGACGGGATTGGGAATAGCACTTAGGTAGAAATAGCCGGTGTGAGATTCAAGGATATGAGCACAGGAGGGTGGGAGTGGGCTGCTGGAGAGCAGAAAGCAGGAGGTTCCTGTGGGAAAAACTTCGAGCTGTACTGGAGATTGGTGGGGGCAGGAGTACTAGGTAGAGAAATCTCCCTCAGGGCGCTTGTGCATACTAGACAATTACCAAGGGTTCCTCAGCGATGTGTGCTTTGGCCAGGAGGACTGCTGGAAGTAATAGTTTTGGAAGTTCTCTACGGTTTTTCCAGCCAAGATGCATATTAGAGGCAGAGAGGTCTGTGATGCAGGCGAGTTCCCTCGTGGGCCACAGTGGTACGGTATCAGTTGCAGCGAGAAGTAAGAGCCGTTCCAAAGGGAGAACCTACAGAAAGAGGCAACTGATAAGCAGCTGGGGTCCGGGAACACAAATGCCAGGGAGGCTCAGTGTGGACAAAATAGAGAAGTATGGATGTGGAAATGGTTGAAACGGGAAGAGGAGGGGTCCAGCTGCCAGCGTGTTGAGCAACAGGCTTCAGGCGCACTTGCTGTCAGCTAGAACTGTCACTCAGCCTCTGTGGGGCTTGAGGCAGGGGTATGCCTCAAGCTAGAGGCGTGCGCGTAAGCATCCATACCATGAGTAGCTGACCAATCTTTCAAGAACTCCATAGAAGGAAGTCTGAGGCCTCAGGGACCTTGGGTCATGCAAAGAGAATGGGGGAAAACCCCCAGGATGGGGTCCATAGAAGCAGAGGAGGTGACCTTGGGGATCTTCACTGTGGGCTTAGGATAAAGGATGAAGGGACGCAGAGATTTGAGTCTTAGGACTGTGTAGAGATGGCTCTGGGACTGCTTGTGTCCTGTGGTGGGGGCAACGTTGAGTAAACAGTTGGTGGAAACGTGGAAGTTAGTAGTGGAGTCCGATCTCAAAGTTTTGGCAATGGAGTTGAGTATGGGGACGCTGAGGCAGGAGGATTGCTGTGAATTCAAGTCGGACGATACAGTGTCTCTCTGTCTCTTTGTGGTGTATCTCTTTCTGTCTCTCTCTCTCTCTGTATGTGTCTGTGTTAGGAGTTTCAAGTTAGGGGAGGAGAATCCAGGTGTGTGTTTCACCCAGGAGGCAGAAGCCAGCAGGGAAGACGCCAGCCATCTCTGAGAGCAGCAGCTGACCTCAGAGGCACTGGGGTGGTGGGGGTGGGGGTGGGGGGGTCAAGGACAGGGTGACACAGTGTTTGGTTGGAAAGAAAGAAGGATGAGGGAAGTTTAACTGGCAAGCTGCCAGGCATTTAAGGGGTGAGGTCATCGGTGAGTGTGAGGGAGGGGGCCGAGCTGTGGGGGGGGGGGCTCAGGGAGACCGAAAAGGTTTGGAACAGCTGCTGTGGGGAAAGCAACTGGGGATCTGGCAGAGCCAAACACCAGACAGAGAGGCTGGGGCTGGAGGGTGTGGCAGGTGCTGCAGTGTTTTGGGAGCTCTGCAGTGTTCAGCATCTCTCCACCTACTTTCTGCAGGGTAGAGGCAGAAACAGGAAGCAGGCAGTGCTGTGGCCCAGAGTTAGAGATTGGGCCAGATAGCACGGGGCGGTGGAAGAGGCCTTTGTAGAGAGAGCTAGGGAAGAAGCCAGTCTAGGGACTTGATTGACAGGGCACAAGGGCAACTTGAAGCCTAGGTAGGATCTTGGGGGGGTGGTGGCGAAGAGCTGATCAATCATACGTCCCAGACGCCTCGGGGTGGAAGGCACTGAAGATGAGGATTTTGAGGTCATGGGAGTGAACAGTGACATTGTTGCTAGCAGGCAGAGGAGGCCGCAGCTGACAATGTCCTGCAGGAAGGATGCGGGCACCACAGGGAGGAGTATGGTTGAATAGTTTATCCTTCCCAAGATGGGAACAGCCATTTATAGTAGCATTTACTAGAGAGCAAGGATGAGCGGAGGCCATTTCCCTGTCCTCAAAGTGCAGGCAAGGGCATCTTGGGAGAGGACAGAGGTGAAGCTTGCCTTCAGGGACCCCCTGTTAGGTAGGAGTAGGAGACTGAAGGAGTCAGTCTTAGGGAAGCCGCTAGGGTCAGGCCGGGGGAGTGTGACTTCTGTGTTTCCCTTGGGAAGGCGTGGCATGGCATGTAGAGCTCAGAGTGCAGTTCTGGGGGTGGAGAAGGAGATAGTGAGGAGCTTCGGGGGATGGAAAGGGGAAGGCATCAGCAGATCTTAGGGTCACAGCGTCCTGGGTGGACTTAACCCTTCTTTAGACTAGGTCCATCCAGAATTCTTGGAGTGTCTCAGGGACGTGCTGGCACAGGTCAGATAGCCCCTCTGCAAGTTCCCAGGTTTCTGAAGTGCTTTGTCCCTACACAAGGACATCCTTCCCTCTCGAGTCTTTAGCGCCACAAGGTCCTCTCTCTGTGCAGGAGGAATGGGCTGGTCTAGAAAAGGCCTATGGATCTCCCCTGGAGACTTGCCGGGGAAGGACTGGGATCACATGGGCTACAAAACCTTTGCTTAGCCCCTTACTTGGGAAACAATACCAGGGTGTCTGAAGAATAAGGGTGGGCTCCTGCAGGCAGCTGTCGAGGGTTTAACCTACGCTTCTAGCCTCGTGGTACCCTCATGATGATAGGGATTGCTCAGCGGCTGGTGGGATTGGTAGGTGTGTGTGTGTACACGTATGCATATATGTTTTTGCATGGTGTGGCACCTGTCTGGGGCACCGGAGGTGCTGTCTGAGCATGCTCTGAGAAGTTGGTGTGATTTGAGCCGTATGTGTGGTTCCAGTTGCTTAGTTGTCCTGGTCTACCTGAATGCCCGGGACTGTGAGGTTTTGGCCTCTGCAGGTGCAGATGCCCCACTGTAGGAGATAGAGGCTAAGGTCAGCCTTGCCCCTGTGTTTATATGTGTGGTGCTAGGGGTCAGGGCAGACAGGAGATCGAAGAGTCAAGAGTCCTGGTGTCTAGGGAAGGAGGTGGAAGCTTAAGTCTTTACGTAACGAACGATCAGCTGGCCCACCTGGGAGGAGTTAGAGAGTATGACAAATGTGTTTGGGTTTCTAGGTGCGCTCTCCTGGAGGTCCGGGACCCTTGACCCTCAAGGAGGTGGAGGAGCTGGAACAGCTAACACAGAAGTTGATGCAGGACATGGACCACCCTCAGGGGCAGAGCGTGTCTGTGAATGGTGAGTCCACAACCCACTCTTGGGGGACATACTCCCTGGGCACGGACTCCCAAGAGCTCTGGGGGTCTTCCGTCCTTCCGGCTGAGACAGAATTTTCCGATCTTCCTTCCCAGAGACCTGTGGCCGATGCAGTCAGCCGCTGCCCCGGGCACAGCCTGCCGTCCGCGCACTGGGCCAATTGTTCCATATTGCCTGCTTCACTTGCCATCAGTGTCAGCAGCAGCTGCAGGGCGGGCAGTTCTACAGCCTGGAAGGGGTGCCGTATTGTGAGAGCTGCTATACTGTAAGTCTGGGCTGGAGCTTCTGGCTACCGTGGGGCTGACACTGGATGAGTCTTGGAAGGAGCACCTTGGGGGAGTCTGGTCCCCGTCATAACCTGCTCTGATTGTCTCCCAGGAGACCCTGGAGAAGTGCAACACCTGTGGGCAGCCCATCACCGACCGAATGCTGAGGGCCACTGGGAAACCGTACCACCCGAAGTGCTTTACGTGCGTGGTCTGTGCCTGTCCCCTGGAGGGCACCTCCTTCATCGTGGACCAGGACAACCAGCCCCACTGTGTCCCTGATTATCACAAGTGAGGACCTATCATTTTTCCCCCCTGTTCATCCATGTTTTGTCTGGTAACCAGGCTGCCACTGGGCTCCAGCTCAGCAACAGACCCCCTAGGTTGCTTCCGGGTTAGCTTTGGCAGCTCCCTTGGGTCTCTGGGGTGTGTGTGTGTGCCTCTGCTCAGCAGTTGGTCCTAGAATTCGGTTGGGTTCTCAGAGTTCCTTTGGTGTACTGGCTTCTCCCTAGACTCGTAACAGTCCTAGGCTGGCTGGCAAAGTACCAGCGTTAACTATAGGATGGGAAAAATGAATTCTGTCGCCACCTTGGACAGCATGTCTAGGGGTTACATTTGCAGGATTTTGTGTGGGTGGCTAGGATTCCTGGTCCCTCTGCTCTCTCTGGGGCCAGGCTGGAGGTATGCACATGCAGAGGGAGGTGTTCCTGCAGGGCTGTAGTAGGGGTGTGTCAAGGGTGTGGGAACGAACACCTATAACCGAACTGTGGGAGATAGAGCGTTGTGTAAATGGAGAGGCAGGAAATTTCACTTGATAAGGGCTTGCTGTGTGTGCCACTTGGTCCTTTGGCCTTTCTCATGAATCTGCTCCACCCAGTCATGAGGTGTTCCCTGTGACCACACAATCTGTGCCTCCTTACCCTGCGCCCTCCTAGGGGCTGGAAGCCCGATGTGCCTGGATCCACTGAGCCTCTGGACCTGCTTTTTGATCCTTTAGGCAGTATGCTCCAAGGTGCTCCGTCTGCTCGGAGCCCATCATGCCTGAGCCTGGCCGGGATGAGACTGTGCGAGTAGTCGCTCTGGACAAGAACTTCCATATGAAGTGTTACAAGTGTGAGGTCAGTTGTCCCTCCCGTTGAGCCTTGGAAAAACCAAAGGACTTCCCAGCGGGAGGGGAGGGTGGGCTTGCCTGTTTGTGTGGATGTGTGTGTGTGTGTGTGCGCGCGCACCACGCTCGGTTAGGGGTGTCAGGTTTTAGCAGTGAGAAGTAGAACGGAGTTGGCTGGGGTAGGAAGAACGGGAAGGTGGTGTGTTGTCTGAGAGTTGTCTAGTCCCTCCTTTCCAGCAGGAGAGGCCTGGTAAGGAGCAGGAAAGGTAGTATGGTCAAGAAGACTTGAGAGATCAGGGTGTCAACCCCAAGCCTATGGAACAATAGGAGCAGAAACCTTCCTGGCCAGTATCCCCCTTACCCTTCCTCCTTTCCAGGACTGTGGGAAGCCCCTGTCCATTGAGGCAGACGACAACGGCTGCTTCCCTCTGGATGGCCACGTCCTTTGTCGGAAGTGCCACACCGCTAGAGCCTAGACCCGAGTTGAGGACGGGCCTCCTTCCAGACTACAGGTCCATTCCCCACCGTGGACCACACACGCTGAGACCAATCCTTGCCTCTACCCTCCCTACATTCCAAACCCCTCCCCAGTATCCCCTGACCCAGGGCCTCAGCATGACCTAAAAGTGCCGAGGCCCGGTCCCGGGCTCCACCCCTTGCCTCTCTTACAGGGATTGCCTATCGTCCTGAGGTCCCCAACCCAAGGGTCACATCCAGCGCTGCCGCTCTCACGGTTGTACCCATGCCCCTGGCTGGCCTGAGCAGCCCGTGCAGCGTGCTTGCTGAGGGTGCCAGAGCCAGCCCTCCAGCAGCCTGGACACCCACCTTGCCCTTTGTGCTGCTAGGTTGTGGCCACAGCTAAAATTATAAAACCTCATTTTCCAGATTTGCTAGTACTTGCTTCTTTGGTTGATACCTCAACTCCTGGGGTTGAAATGGAAGGAATCAATGGGAGGGAGAGAGAGAGAGAGAGAGAGAGAGAAAAAAAAAAAATCACGGGTAGGGATGAAAACTCAACTCCTGTTTATTTACAAAAATAGATAATGCATATAAGTATATATATATTTATATATATTAAACCTGCCCCCGGCACCCACCCACCCACAATCCCCTCCACTAGTACCTCCCTTTTTATAAACAAAGGCTCTTTGGTCCAAAGGCCAAGTCCCGATTGAGTAGGCAGGAGCAGCACCAATAGCCTACATCTTGTAGGCTGAGGACAGGACAGGACGGAGGGATGAAATGTCTTTTCGGCACCCAATCAGTCCTTAAATCCTTGAATACTGCAGAGAATGCGTTTCTGGTGCCCCGGCAACGTGATTCCCATCTGCGTCAGGTCCCTGTGGAAGAGGGAGGGGGTGGTGGTGGGGGCCTTGAGTCTAGAGGTTCAGACCCTCCCATGCCCAGGCTGCCTGGCCCCAGAGTGCTCACTCAGCTGTCAGCTCCAGCAGGCACTCCATGGTGTCCAGCCCAGCCGAGTGGAAGTTCAGGATGTAGCGTTTCATGCGTATGGACTCGAGCCACTCAGGGACACTCCGGTAAGGGATCCCATCAGAGCCGCTCAGGCTGGGCAGGCGGAGGGTCACCCTGTGGGATTCGATGCCGTATTTGTTCCCCTGGAGTACAGGAGCTGGTCGGCCTGGGCTACCACATTGCAGCCAGCCCTGAAATCTGATGCTTGCATATAGCTCATCCAGGCTCGGCATATAAACTGGCTGTTGTCTGAGACTGCTCCCTGGTATGCTCTGCTCAGCTGACTGGCCTGTTCCATGGCTAGATAGATCTAGGAAATGTAGACGCTAAGGGCATCTCTAGAGAAGAACTCCCAGCCCTTTAGACATGAATGCCGTCCTGACTTAAGGATGCTATCTTGCCTTTTCCTGAGATGGCCACCTAGGAGCAACCCTCACTTGCCACATTCAACCCCCCACACATACAGTGTTATTCTAACCCTCTGATAGCCACAATACAATGAGTGTTCCTGTAGGGAAGCCAGTCAGAGCCAAAACACATTAGCAAAGTAAATCTGCTGGGGGAAAAAATATCCAGCATTCCAGAAAGATTAGCACACACAGTCTCCAGCGTCCGAGGGAATTGTGTTCCAGAAGATAGTCTCAAAAGTTGGAACGTGGAAAACAATCTCTCCCAGAAACAAGGTTATATATGGCGGGTTTGATACAGAGGCCAGTACACCAGGCTCTTACCCGATAAAGCAGTTGAAGTCCAGCCTTGCCTGGCTCCCTGGCTTGACCTCCCCTCCTTCTACTTCATTCTCTACATTCTGGCCATGTTTTTGATAAAATACAATTTGGGGAAACTGGTCAACATTTCTTGTTCTCACAGAGTCCTACCTTCCCAGCAGGGCTGGTCCTCTGTTGGAATCTCTGCTGCTTCCCCATTCACAGGGCTGCTGGCTCTGACCAGATGCGGCCACCATTCTGTACTCGCTGTGATCTGTTATTCCTCAGCTCCTTCCAGACTGCCCGTGTAGTCAGTCATCGGTGTACTCAGACTGCCCCTACCCCACACCCTAGCTGCCTACGCTCTCAGGAGCAGGTACCAGGCTTCAGCAAATGACAGTATAGGTCCTCCAAGATTTGTCAGATCTGTGAATCTTTCCTCCACATGCAAGAATGGGAAAAGAAGGTGTCCCAAGTCTCAGATGGCCACAGGAACACCAGGGTTGGGAGTCACAGTCATACTGTAACTTACTTAGTGGGAAGGACAAACAAAAGTGAGCCTAAAGATTCCAGAGGAAATAGAGTGGGGCAGGTAATCTACAACTAACTCTCTTTTTCGAGACGGCTTCTCTGTAGCTTTGGAGCCTGTCCTGAAAATAGCTTTGTAGACCAGGCTGGCCTCGAACTCACAGAGATCTGCCTCTCTCTGCCTCCTGAGTGCTGGCATTAAAGGCATGCGCCACCACTACCTGGCGAGAGCTAAAACTCTTTCAATCATGCCTTTAAAACCTAAATCATGCCTAAAAAAATGGAGCCTACCTCCATTACCCTGGGCTTTCCCAGAGGGCAGGGGCTGGGAGCTGCTGTCTCATATGCTGGAATGTCCATTTTTATTTTTCCCAGACTCCCATCCTTTCCGAGCATACTTACTTACCTGGGGTCAAAGTTGGCAATGGTCCTTAGGGAGTGGGGGTCAGTGAGCAACTGTTCCAGATGAGCCTGCAGCTGGAGAAAGTGCGGCCTGCGGGCCCGGTCATACGCCCAGCAGTTCTTCATGAGTTCATATAGAGGGGCAGGGCAGTCCACGGGAGGGGGCAACCGGTACCCATCCTCGATGCTTTTCATTACCTGAGCCAGGAGACAGGGAGACATGCCTAGGCAACATCCACAAGGAAATCATTGAGCTCTACGCCCCAAGCAAACCTGACCAGCATAGATGTAATGAGCAAAGAAGTAACAGAGAAGGGATCACAGGAAGCATTGCCTGGAAATTAGAGTTGGGAAGAAATAATTATAGGAATTAAGAAGAGACAGGGATGGCGTGGGGAAACTAACTGTCCAGGGTTACCTCTTGATTGCTCATCTCCCCATAGGGCTTGTCACCAAAACTCAGCACCTCCCACATTACAATCCCAAAGCTCCACACATCGCTGGCTGTGGTGAAGATCCGATGGGCGATAGCTTCTGGGGCTGTCCAACGGATGGGGATCTTCCCTCCCTAAGAAGGCATGGCACAGCAGAGTGATGTTTCAGGGCATGGATGAGTACAGAACCGTGGGAATTGGGTTGTGCGTGGGTCACTGTGTAAGTGTAGATGCGGCTCTGACCTGGGTTTCATAAGTGCCGTCGAAGTCGTCCAGGAGGCGGGTTAAGCCAAAGTCGGACACCTTGCAGCACAAGTTCTGATTCACCAAGATATTCCTGGCAGCCAGGTCTCTATGGACATAATTGTGGCCACTGAGGTAGTTCATGCCGGATGCTATGCCCAGCAGCATAGCCACTAGCTGACCAGATGCTAGCTGGTCCTCTCGTTCCTGTAGTAGGGTGGACATACATCAGAGGGTGAAGAGTCTCCCACAAAGCATGGGTCTCCGTGGTGCGACCCCTCCTGAGCTGGCTCTCGGCCTATCTCACCTTTAGAAAGGCATCCAGGGCGCCATTTTCCATAAACTCTGTGACGATCATGATGGGCTTTCCTGAGAGACGGCACAGGCATCACACCCAGGCCCGGGTTTCTTCCCTTTGGCACCCTCCCCTCCCCCATCGATCCACTCCTCTCCCCCTCCTCCCACATTCTACTCCAGGTCCTGGGGATGACTGCATACTTTTTGTGACGACGCCTTCCAGGCGCAGGATGTGTGGGTGGTTGAACTGGCCCATGATAGTCGCTTCTCGAAGGAAATTCCACCACTGGCCATCTGGGGATGTGTCTTTCAAGGTCTTAATGGCCACGGTCTTACAGTCATGGCTGGGGGATCTCAAGGCTCCCCGATACACTTCCCCAAACTCTCCTAGGTGGGATGAAAATAAGGTCAGACCACCCCACAATGACACATCTAGTACCAGTTTTTCCTCAGTAGAAATCTGAGGAAGGACAGCTTAGATGGCCCCTCTGGTGAAGCAACAGTCTGAAGCCAACATGGAACTCTGCAACCCAGCCACTACTGTCTGCCATGGCCAGCATGCTCCTTGGCGTATGCTAAGTAAGTACTCGCTAGGTGCAGAGGGATGGAGCTGTGTTTGCAAAGGACAAGCTGGTCCGGGGCTAGTGCCCAAGTAACAGGAGGCCTGTCTGTTTCCTGTGAGTGAGCTCCCTGATCACAGTGCTGGCTCAGCTGCATCACTGACAAGGACACTGACAAGCTTTGTTCTCTGTGGAGATCTATTTTCCCCGGTGACTCAGGGGATTGGGGACAGCCCGAGGACACTGGGCCCCGGATGGAACGGAATGCTCACTTGGGGAGGCTCTGAACCTCTCCTGCTCTGGGGACTATCTGAGCACAACCTGCTCCTTGGCAGGGCGGTGACACCTCAATGGGTGCAGATGTGGTGTTTAACATTCCTTATTGGAAACCCCATAACCGCAGAGCCAAGTGTGTAGGTGGCAGAGGCTGCGGCCCGGCCCGGCAGCCCTAGGAGGATGCAGGCTGCAGCAGGCATGGATGCACCTGGGAACTGAGGTTTGAGGGGAGGGACCTGCTGGTGGCCATGTGCTACCATGAGAGGGAACAGCTGGGGTCACAGCGGGACTTACCTTCCCCTATGACAGTATCCACAATCAGCCAGGCTGGGTCCAGTTCCTGAGCAAAGTCTAAAGCTCCCTGGGCAGGGTCCTCATAGGCCTGGAGGTCCACGTAGGGTTTTAGCCACAGCTTGTCCTCTAGGGAGGACGAGGAGGCTCAGCACTACAGCATATACTTCAGGGATCAGTCAGGGCATGGGGGGCTAGGGACAAGGGCAGACCGCTGAGCCCGTTCTCTGCTCTCTGAGGGGAGCCTGGCTTTAGCTCAAGGAGACAAAAATCTCTATTCTTAGCAACGGAGCCTGTACATCCCAATCTTTTTCTTGTCTACGCTCCAAGCTCTTCTGTCCTACTGTTCAGGGTCCATAGTGGTGGCCAGAACTCAGACCCTGGAGTAAACTCCCTGCCTGGAGTTACCCAATCTTCCTGACTTGTGTCCCCAGCCTCTGACCCCATGCTGTCCAAGTCACTCACACCTCATCCCCCCAGAAGAACCCTCTCTTCCATTCCAGCTACTCAGACAGACACCAGACCTTTCCCTCTAGCAGAGCCACCTAATGAGGTGACAAGCAAGAAGCCCACATTGCCTCAGAGGGATTTAACCCCTTTCCTGCCTGACCTCAGCTCACAGACCTGGCTACCAGCCACACCAGGGTGGCTGTGTCCTGGTACCAAGAGCTAGTA